AGAATGATCTCTCCACTTTGCAGCGGTGCCAGAGCACGTCCATACAGCGTTCTTTCCTTGCAGAGTGGTATTACGTGAATTGCACGAGATAGTCCGCATCTTACTAGAAACCGGGCTTTGTACTGGGTGGCTTTGCCCACCTGTAGGCGTGTGTAAGTGTAAGTGTTCCGAGAGTGTTCTAGGTAGGCGGGCTAAGCTCTGAGGTTCGGTAGGTATGTTAACAGCATTTTCAGCGTGCAGAGGCTCCCTGGTGTGTGACCCCATTGTAAGCTGAAGAGCATCTGTGTTTGCTCGTGGCTCCAGAGTCCAAGGTGAAGGTGTGGGCAGAGTTGGTTTTTCTAGGGTTGCCCTCTCTGAGTGTCTTCATGTGGTCTTCCCTCCGAACCTCCCCTCTTCTCTGAAGGACTGTCACACGCACTGTGGCGTAACCACATCAACTCATTTCAACCTCATGACCTCTTTGAAGACTACATCCATTTAAGGTCACACTCTGAGCCCTGGGGTTAGGGCATCAACAGTCGATTTCGGGGGAGGGACAGACAGAAGTCAGCTCAGAGCAGTGCTGGCTTGGGTCCCAGGCATTAGAAGCTCAGAAGAGATCTGGATCGGGCGTCAGACCCAGCTGTACATGCCGGGCTCCTGCCCGGGACCCCTTTCCATCCCTCAGCCCTTCCTGTGCTGGGCCAGATGCACTTGGCCTTCTGGTCACAGCTTGAACATCTCCTGGGTTTAAGCTTCCTCGTCTCCACCTCCTCCAGTCACGCATATCTCTAACCATGCAGCTCCTTAGTCCTAACTTTTTCACAGATGTGACTGTGCAACTGTAATATTCCTGTGTTGGACACTTCGCCTCTCCCAGGGTGTCACCTAGAACATCTTAAAGCACGTAATGTGCGCAGAAAGAAGGAAAATGAGAGCAGGAGGCACTCGGAGGGCCGAGATCCTGTGGTGGGTGTGGCCACTGGAGCAGGTCCAGCTGTGTGCTGCAGGCCAGGCCTGAGAGCCAGACCCGGGAGGCGGGACCAAGGCCTGGTCCATGTGTGCAAAGACATGGCACCTCGGGCTGGGGTTGCCTAGAGGGGAGAGGTGGAAACAGAATCTGGCCGGAAACCAGAGTCAGTCCTGGGGCTGTTGAGCTGCGCTCATGGCAGTGGGGTAGGAGCGCTGCACAGGTTAACTCAGACCAGGGTTAGGCTGTGGCCTGGTGACAGCCTGAACGCCTGTGTGCACTGTCTGTGCCTGCGCCTCTGTCTCCTCGTGTGTAAAATGGAGATGATGGCACCTGTCGACTCAGAACATCCTTCTGGGGAATGAACGAGAAGGCGTTTGTGCATTTAAGACTTGCTGAGAGCTTGGCACGCAGCGGCCACTTTGGTGGGGGGATTCTGGCTGGGGTGCAGGCGGCAGAGTCCCCAGGAGACATCAGGGGAGAGCTTGCTACCAGGCCAGGGCGAGTTGCCCGTTTCAATCTCCAGCACTGTTGCAGTAGTGCAGGGATGGGGGCATGCGAGGGTCTCTTCAGAGAAACAGTGTGCATGTGAAGATTCCTCATAGAGAACTGGCAGCTCTGCAGTTAGGGGAGTTAACAAGTCTCAGGTCCTCAGTGTGATTCGGCAAGCAGGGGACCCAGAGGAGCTGCTGGGTAGTTCCAGTTAAGTCCAGAGGACTGAGCACCAGGAGAGGCGATGGTGTGGTTCTGGCCTGAAAGCCAGCAGTCTCTGGGCCTGGGAAGAGCTGTGTTTCCACTTGAGCCCGAGGCAGGAAACGGCAGTGCCCCAGTGTGAATGATTTATTTATTTTTTATTTATTTGGAAGGCAGAGTATTAGAGAGGAAGAGAGATTGGTTGGTTGATTAATGGATTGATTTCTGTCCAACGGTTCACTCCCCAAATGGCCTCAACAGCCAGGACTGTGCCAGGCCAAAGCCTGGAGCTCCATCCAGGTCTCCCACAAGGGTGGTGGGGGCCCAGGTACTTGGGCCATCGTCTACTGCCTTACCGTGTACACCGGAAGCAGAGCGACTGGCACTCAGACTGGCACTCCAGTGCGGCATATCACAAGCAGCGACTTAACCCCCTGCTCTGTCTTGATAGCTAATGTTCTTGCTTGTCCGTCGTCCTGTTGGCAAAGAGGATACAAGACAAGTTTGAGTCTAGTGGATCCTGTGTCAGACCAAAAGGAGGAAGGGACCCAAATGACCTTGAAGTGGCTTCCCAGGCGTCAAGGAGAAGGGTTGCTTTCTATTCACCGAGTGCCCATCCTGTCCAGCAGGTCAGTCAGCGTCCTGGGCAGCTCGCCCATATTTGTAATGAAGGTCATCTCGTTTTATTTCCTCAAGACCTGGAGATGCCTGTAGGAGTGAAGACAACACTAAATGGCTAAAAGAAGGGATTTACCATTAGTGTCTCTTCCCTTCTTTACTGGGAATTAAGAAAATCGTAGGCTGGGGCCTGCATGGTGGTGTAGGAGGTAAAGCCTATGCCTGCGAGGCGGGCATCCCATGTGGGCACCAGTTCAAGTCTCGGCTGCTCTGCTTCTGATCCAGCTCTCTGCTGTGGCCTGGGAAAGCAGTGGAAGATGGCCCAGGTGCTTGGAGACACCTGGAGGAAGCCCCTAGATTTGGCCTGGCCCAGCGCTAGCCATTGGAGCCATTTGGGCAGTGAACCAACAGATGGAAGATCTCTCTCCTTTTCTCTATAGTTGTGCCTTTCATATAAATAAGAATGAGTCTTTATTTTAAAATTTAAAGAAACAATCATAGCAGCCAAAGCAGAGCACATGGCCACATTGGGTATCTGCGAGGGGACCTGAGGCTTGGCAGGTGGGGTCTCTGCCCCCGAGTCAACATAGCTTAGAGTCTGGGCTGCAGCTCAGCCTGGACTGTGACCTCAGCATCCTTGGCAACTGGTTCTTTTCTGTCTCCAAAAAACCAGGCCTTGGGGCCAACGCTGTGGTGTAGTGGGCCAAGCCTCTGGCGCAGGCATCCCACATGGGCGCTGGTTTGAGTCCCAGCTGCTCCACTTCCAATCCAGCTCCCTGCTAATGTGCCTGGGAAAGCAGTGGCAAACAGCCCAAGTGCTTGGGCTCCTGGACCCACGTGGGAGACCCAGAAGAAGCTCTTGGCATCAGATCAGCCCAGCTCTAGCCATTGTGGCCATTTGGGGAGTGAACCAGTAGATGGACGACCTGTCTCTCCCTCTCTAACTCTACTTCTCAAATAAAATAAGACACATACACATACACACACCAAAGGAAAAAAAAATAGGCCTTGAGCTGCTGCTTTTGTAGGGTGAATGGGATCCTGGCTTTGTGCATCCTGTGCAGCCTCTCTTTTCTGAACAGCCATAAAACTGGGCTAGAACATTCCGGTTGTTATTAATGCAGCAACTTCCCCAGGGCCTCCGAGGGATACCGACCATCGGTCCTCCACAAGTTATTCTCTCTGTACTGCGTTATCCCCACCCCAGTGCGGTCAAGTTGCAAGAGGCCCAGCGTCTTCCAAAGACAGTTCCCTTCCCAAGTCCTCCCAAGTGCCACGGAGCTCTGCCAGCTCTCAGGCCCCCCACGTTGAAACGTCCAAGAATTGGGCAGTGCAGTAGCTGGCATTTTGCCCCAATATAGTCCTTTTAATATCCAGTTGTCTTTGTAGAGAAAATGGTTTGAACCTGTGCTGATATCCTAGCAGCACTGTTTACCACTTGGGAAGTAGGCATTTAGCCTAGCAGTTAAGACAGCCACATCCCACACCAGGGGGTCTGGTTCAAGTCCCACCTCTAGCTCCTGACCCAGCTTCCCGTTAGTGTGGACACTGAAAGGCATCTGGTGACAGCTCGAGGGACTGGACCTCCGACCTGCCACGTGGGAGCCCTGGGTTGAGTTCCAGGCACCTGGCTTCCACCAGGCACAGCCCCAGCTGTTAGTGCAGCAGCAGATGGACGTGCATTCTCAAATAACTAGAAAATAAGTTTAAAAATTTTTACAAGTTTGTGGCCACTAGGTAAAATGCAGAAGTCAGCAAAGCCTGCCATTTAATAATACACTTAATAGAAATCACCAACCAGTGGCCAGCGCCGCGGCTCACTAGGCTAATCCTCTGCCTTGCGGTGCCGGCACACCGGGTTCTAGTCCTGGTTGGGGCGCCGGATTCTGTCCCGGTTGCCCCTCTTCCAGTCCAGCTCTCTGCTGTGGCCCGGGAGTGCAGTGGAGGATGGCCCAAGTCCTTGGGTCCTGCACCCCATGGTGCGCCGGCCGCGACGGCCATTGGAGGGTGAACCAACTGCAAAAGGAAGACCTTTCTCTCTGTCTCTCTCTCACTGACCACTCTGCCTGTCAAAAAAAAAAAAAACAAAAAAAAAAACAAAAAAACAAAAAAACACCAACCAGCGTCCTTGGACCACAATCCTATTGAAAAGTAGCAGCCTTTTGAGTGCAGTGAGAGTTGCCACCAAGATGATGCAGCGAGCCAGGTGGCTCCCTGGCCCCAGGGCTGCTGACTGGGCCCCGTCTTCAGTCCTCGGGAAGTCTGTGCCTGGCTTGTATTCAGACTGACTCGTTCAGTACCCCAGAGATGGCAGGCAGCTTGGAACACTGGACAACGGCCTGGAGAACGGATTTGTACTCCTACACTACACACACACCAAGAAACTCACGTCCATTTGTATTATCTTTCCAACCTTCCTGTCAAGATAGACTTCATTGAAATGTGTTTATTTTGACCACAAATCACCTCTGCCACGGACAGTTTTCAAATGATTTATTGCCTATGGGATGGGAGAGAGGAGCGAGACTGCCAAATATGATGGCCTTACAGTCACCCTCCAGGCTGTCAACCTCCAAGGGGATTCACACTCATGTCTACATTTGTGCAAAATGCATACATGATATATCCCCAAAAATATATTCATGGGAAAGATGTAGCAATTTTATTTTCATGAAATGTTTGCGTGGGGAAGGGGTTCCAAGTGATTCCTTTGATGAGAACGCGGTTTGGTTTTTTTTAGGTTACATCTGATGCCAGAAGGCAAACACAACCTGCATTTACGTTTTGCAAACGAATTCAACAAGTTAGTAGAAGACTTCCTCCAGTGACACAGCCGAGTCTCCATGGTTCTCGGTGGGCGTGGCCTTCCATCACACTGTTGCCTCTAACTGGGATGTCACAGCTCCCCCCTCCTCTCCCCCACACAATCTGACCCCAATCAAACTGAAACAATGGTACAGAGATGACCTCTAGATTTCACAGCTGCAAAAAATGAAATTTTAACATTAAATTGTAAATTTCTAATGTTGTCTTAAAAAACAAATCCCTGCTGTGATTTACCTTCAAATACTTTCAGCATAACATTGTAGTGTGAATTCGGCGACCACAGGACAGCCGGAATGCACCTGTACCTGTTGTCTAAGGGATGTAGCATCACCCCCCTCTGCACTTGCATTTATCACACTGTACAAAGAGAAGCAGAAAACTAGGAGACCTTCCTAGCCTGAGGGCTTGGCTCTCCCGCTTCCCAGGAGTCCGAATGACAGCACATAAGGGGAGGTTTGCTTCCTCAAACCGCCCTTCCGCATGGACCCCTTGGAGAGACCATTTTAAATCTTTGGGCCATTGGAAAGAGTCGTGACTTATCATTGATCGTTACCAAAAGGGCAGGAATGCTATTAATGAATAACAGACAGTATTCTTATATTGCTGTTCAAATTAGACCCTGAAACACTAAGAGGAATTAAAGTGAGAAAAAGACAAGCATTTATACACATGCACTTTTATTAGTATCGATGTCAGCAGACAATAAATAAAAGAATTCCACATCATTACATCAACGGTGAGTTTGACAGAGGCAAAACTGAGCACCATAGTAGACAAATAGACCATGCTGGAGGACCACACTTCACTGAGGTGCACGACGCACGTGACAAGTTCTCAGGCCTCGTCCTCGCCCTCCTCCTCCTCGAACTCGCCCTGCTCGTCGGCCGTGGCGTCCTGGTACTGCTGGTACTCGGACACCAGGTCGTTCATGTTGCTCTCGGCCTCGGTGAACTCCATCTCGTCCATGCCCTCGCCCGTGTACCAGTGCAGGAAGGCCTTGCGCCGGAACATGGCCGTGAACTGCTCCGAGATGCGCTTGAACAGCTCCTGGATGGCCGTGCTGTTGCCGATGAAGGTGGCCGACATCTTGAGGCCGCGCGGCGGGATGTCGCACACGGCCGTCTTGACGTTGTTGGGGATCCACTCGACGAAGTAGCTGCTGTTCTTGTTCTGCACGTTCAGCATCTGCTCGTCCACCTCCTTCATGGACATGCGGCCGCGGAAGATGGCGGCCACCGTCAGGTAGCGGCCGTGGCGCGGGTCGCAGGCGGCCATCATGTTCTTGGAGTCGAACATCTGCTGGGTGAGCTCGGGCACGGTGAGCGCGCGGTACTGCTGGCTGCCGCGGCTGGTGAGGGGCGCGAAGCCCGGCATGAAGAAGTGCAGGCGGGGGAAGGGCACCATGTTCACGGCCAGCTTGCGCAGGTCGGCGTTGAGCTGGCCGGGGAAGCGCAGGCAGGTGGTGACCCCGCTCATGGTGGCCGACACCAGGTGGTTGAGGTCGCCGTAGGTGGGCGTGGTGAGCTTGAGCGTGCGGAAGCAGATGTCATACAGGGCCTCGTTGTCGATGGAGTAGGTCTCGTCCGTGTTCTCCACCAGCTGGTGCACGGACAGCGTGGCATTGTAGGGCTCCACCACGGTGTCGGACACCTTGGGCGAGGGCATGACGCTGAAGGTGTTCATGATGCGGTCGGGGTACTCCTCGCGGATCTTGCTGATGAGCAGGGTGCCCATGCCCGAGCCCGTGCCGCCGCCCAGCGAGTGGGTCAGCTGGAAGCCCTGCAGGCAGTCGCAGCTCTCGGATTCCTTCCTCACCACGTCCAGCACCGAGTCCACCAGCTCGGCCCCCTCCGTGTAGTGGCCCTTGGCCCAGTTGTTCCCAGCCCCGCTTTGGCCTAGAGGGAGGAAAGGACAGGGTCAGGTTCTGACCTTGAAGAACTCAATTCTGCCGGCTGCACTGTGGAGAAGGCAGGGCTGGTCTAGAACATTCTTCAATACCAATTATACCTGCAAGTTCTGTATTCCTGATTCTCAAAGGTTTGGGGAGCACAACAGGAAATGAGGCCTTTAATTGGGGAACACGGGATTAACAACGTATTTTATCCATATGTTTATAACATTTCTACAAGTATTCAAATCAGGTACAGTGAGTTGGGAAGGCGAGGACACAGATGGTGAGAGGAGGACAGGCGAGCACTGAAGCCTCCCTCCCACCTGTGCCCGGCGTCTGGCTCCTTGCAGTGCCTGCTGTCATTACTGAAATCGCCGAGGCTGTGCTGCAGTTCAATCCTGCCCGTCAAAGGCCGCTGGGGCGTGGGGGCCCACAGCCTCTGCAGGCTGACAGTGGGCGCTCGGCCATGGAAAGAGACCCAGGCCCAGGAGACCCCAGCTGTCGGTGGAGTCGGCTCTGAACCCAAGAACACGAGTGGAGGTTGGAGGCCAGTGAGTCTCTGTCCCGGCTCCCCCTGCCTGAGCACTCACCAAACACGAAGTTGTCGGGCCTGAAGATCTGGCCGAAGGGTCCCGACCTGACCGAGTCCATGGTGCCGGGCTCCAGGTCCACCAGGATGGCCCGGGGGACGTACTTGTTGCCTGCAGGGAACAAGAGCTGACTTAGGCCTGGGCTCAGTGGAGGAACCCGGGCAGAACTCACTGGACAGACTTCCAGCATCAGACCAGTGGAGGAGAGGAGGGCGGGCTTTCTGCTTAGGGACAGGACATGCTGAGCAAATGTGCCGGGAGTGGGAGGTGTGGCTTTCAGCATGCACACCGAAAATGCAGCAGCATGGCATTCGTGTGCGCCTAGCACGGTCCCCCAGGCTCGGCCTGCAAGGCAAAGCTGGCTGGGCGAGCATCCGGCACTCACCTGCGGCCTCGTTGTAGTACACGTTGATCCTCTCCAGCTGCAAGTCGCTGTCGCCATGGTAACTGCCGGTGGGGTCGATGCCGTGTTCATCACTGATGACCTCCCAGAACTGCAAGCAGAAGCAGAAGGGATGGCTGAGGGGCCTCCCCGGTCTCCGAGGCTGGCCCTCCCCTTGCTGCCGCGTCCTTGGAGCAGCAGCTGTGCACTGCAGCCACGCGGGGAGTCCAGACCGAGAGCAGGACCGCACGCCCCATGTCCCCGCTGCAGAGCCGCCTGCAGAGCCGCAGGGCATCGCCCTGTTATGTCCAGACTGAAGGGCTGGGGGAGCCGCAGGAGCCCCCACTCCAGGGGAAGCCGTGGGCCCAGCAGCTGCCCCCCTAGAGAGGGTGGGTGCCTGCGGTCCTGGCTGATGGACAGGTCCTGAGGATCCTGCCCAGGTGCCCCCCAGTCCCCCCCCCACCGTCTCGGCGTCTCCAGAGATCCGTGGCTCCTGGCACAGACCCCAGGCAGCCGTCGGGCAGTGCAGGTGTGTGCCACTGACCTACACAGAGCCTCCAGTGCTGGCCAGGTTTCGAGTGGGAGGGGCAGGGCAGCAGGAGCCTGGGAGGGTACCTGGCTGCGGTGGGAGGGGCTGGCCTTCCGGAGGGCGCAGACTCCATTGTGGAACTGCGGCAGGAGAGGGGGCGGGGAGGCTGGGGTGGGCAACATGGCGGTCGGGAGAGACCACGTCCTGTGCAGGCTGCCGCCCACACCCTGCACCGTGCCCGCTGCTGCCTCCCCTTCGCGCTCAGGAATTGCAGCTCCACGGGGCCGCGCCGTCTCCCTCCATGTCATCATGTCTAGACAGGGTCTGTTTCGGAGGGTTTCCCTAAAAACCCGGGTCATCGTAATTACGACCCAAAGAGAGGCCTCTGCGGCGTTGTCAGTGCAGTGACACTGCAGTTTTCCATCAAAGGACAGAAAATGCACCAGTGCCCTCTGCCGCGCGGCTCACAGGTACGTGGACTGCAGTGCAGATGGACGCTCAGAGCGCCACGCAGCTGCGCCGCGCAGGGCCGCGTCCCGGGGCCGCAGCGGCCTTGATGAGAGGCGCGCACATCTGCGCCCGGGCAGCTCGCGCGGCGTCCGGGGCCTCCCGGCCGCGGAACGCGCCCCCGGAGCCCCCGCCCCCACCTGAGCCCACTCACCTTGGCGCCGATCTGGTTGCCGCACTGGCCCGCCTGGATGTGCACGATCTCGCGCATGGTGCCGGCTGCGGAGCGGGAGAGGCGCTGGCCCTCGGAGCTGTGAGCGCGGCGTGGAGCGACGAGACTGGCAGCGCGGAGACCTGCCGCTGCGCCCCCACGCTCCGCCTTTTATGCCCGCGCCCCATCGGGCCGCGGTGACGTCATGGGGCGGTGCGCGGCGGTGCGCCTGGGACTGCGGCACCGCGAGAGGGAGCTGGGGCGCGGTGCGAGGTGCGGGGGCGCCGGGCCCGGAGGCCGACGGTGGTGCAAGGGCGGTGCCCGGCCCCGCGCCCCGCTCCCGCCGGCCACCCCTTCTCGGACGCCCGGGCGTGGCTGCACCCCTGCGCGAAGTCTACTGGCCTCGCCGCAGTGCCCGTCCCACGCCCCCTCTCTCGACCCTGCAGTGGGGATGGAGGCCCGGGTCCTGGAGCCCGCGGAGGGACAGTCCCCAATCTGGGAGAGGCATCTGGTTCTCTTTGGAGATGGGCGCCCAGGGTCGCAGAGGCGCCCTGCGTGGGTCTCCAGCTGTTCGCCAGGGGTGCTGTGTCCTGGGCAGCGCGTGTGCCTCGGTCCCTTGCTGTTCTGGGTGGGGCTTTGCAGGTGTGCACCTTACATGCGCTAGGGCTCCCAGACCCTGCTCCCCACAAGAGCGGCACTGGCCCCTTGAGGGGCTGCCAGCCCATGTGGCTTGCTGGCCACCAAGCGCTCCTCTGAACTGAGCCGCGTTGTAGGTATCAAATGCACCCCAGATTTCACGGGCTCCCCAAGATAAAATGATGTGCACTATTCTCTTGCTAATTTTAAATATTGATTACATAGCAAAATAATAAGGTTTGGGATATATGGTGTTAACTTTTTAAAAATAGGACTATCTGAAAAAAGTTAAGTGACGCAGGTGGCTTGCATTTGCCTGTGGACCTGCCGCCTGCCATAATAACCAGTATTCTACCCCAGCTCACAGGCCACAGGGGAGACAGGAAGACCTGAGTACCCCCAAAGCTAGAAGGTGAAGGAATCTAGAACTAACTTTCTTTTTTTTTTTTTTTCAGAGAGCAGGATCTTCCATCCACTCTCCCAATGGTTCACTCCCCCAAGTGACCGCAATAGCCTGGGCTGGGCCGGTCC